CTGTGGAAAGTGTGGTCCTGCTGCTCAGAGTGGTGTCTGATTTTAATCTTAAACTGACCAATTCCATCAACCTGAATGCACGTAAAAAGTGATGTGACATCAAAAGAGACCGTTGTTTCATCAGTCTCCATGATGACATCCCTCACCTTATCCACAAAGTCCATGGTGTTCTGTATGTGGTGTTCTGAGCTGCCAACTGAAGGGATGAGTACACATTTGGAAACATTGTAAGTGACAGAGTTAATCATGCTAACAATTGGTCTTAAAGGTACACCTTGTTTGTGGATTTTAGGTAAACCATACAGACTAGGTGTGGCCTCCCCTGGATACAGTCTGTGGTACAGAATTTGGTCAATAGCCTAAAAATTTTGGAGCAGGTCAAGGCTGCTTAGATTTATCTGCCGTTAACACCTAACAGTTCATGCTCCGTTCGCTCTTTGCTAAAATGTCTTGACATCAAGATTGGATGGCTGCAAACTTCTTGAGTTTTAATGATCAGAAGACTGAGGTCATTGTGTTTAACCCTAGCTCTGTCACTGCCACTGATCCTGCAAACCTGGACTCCCTTCAGCCGTATCTAAAACAGTCTGTTACCAACCTCGGGATAGTTTTAGACTCAGACTTTAAGTTTAATAAGCAGATAAACTCTGTTCTTCAAAAAAGCTTCTTTCAGCTAAGGCAGATAGCTAAACTCAAGTCCGTCCTGTCCAGATCTGACCTTGAAAAATTAGTCCATGCATTTATTACAACCCGGCTGGACTACTGTAACTCACTTTATGCTGGGGTCAGTCAGGTCTCTCTCTCATGTCTCCAGCTTGTCCAAAATGCTGCAGCTCGGCTACTAACAGGAACTCACAGGTTTGAGCACATTACTCCAGTTCTGTCCTCCCTTCACTGGCTTCCTGTGCGTGCCAGAATTTATTTTAAAATTCTTCTGCTGACATTTAAGTGAATTAATATAATATGCATGTATGAGCGTATCTTAATGTGGTGGTAGGAAAAGTTTGTTCGATGACTTTCTGAGTTTTGTTCATGGAGCTCTCCACTCTAGATCATGTGACCTCACAGCTGCAGTTAGTGTGAGAAGTGTTCTGTTAGGCGTTTACATGGGGAAAACTGTGTCTTTTTTGGAAATTACGTCGCCATGGTAACTCGAAACACCAATAAATGTAACAGCACACATCACGGCGCCGAGCCGGTCATTTTGATAAAACAATTGTGGGGGGACACGTTGCAATTCGGGCCGTATTAAGTTGATAGAAGAGCAAGATCCCAACCAGGTAGATAATAATAGGGGCTGCCTTTTAATAGGCAGTCCCCAAATATTCATAGAATTTGAGGAGTAACAGAGTTATTGTGATCTATACTGACTGAACTGTTGAAGCCGTGCTTCTAAATGTTTCCTTTCCTTCTGTACTCCTCCCCCAGCCGGCCAGACACATCCTTCTCATGGTTTGTGAACCCGTTCAAATGTTTCTTCCACTTGGTGTGGCGAAGCTACAAGAAGTACATCATCATCGCCCTCGTCCTCCTTATCACCGTGCTCTTCCTTGCCCTGCTCTTCTACACTCTGCCAGGAGCCATCTCCCAGAAGATAATCAACGGATAATGGACTGAACACAGCAGACTTCTACAAATACACAAACGCAACCATGAACATTTTTAACTTCCCAAACTCATCAACTGTGACCAAGAAAACACGTCTGGTTGATTTGAATGTTGCACAGATTTTTCTCCTAATTGATCATATTAATCATATTAGTTAAAATAATTTACTCACTTGGTAAACATGAGTCCAGATTTCATCTTTGGTGTCTTAGTGCTCTCTCTCACTATTCTAGTTTGTTTTGCAGATAAAACATCTACCTTCCTTCTCAGCATCATGTCAGCCAGTTCTCTACCTTTGCCTGTCATTGTCCCCACATTTAGAGTCACAACCCTCAGTCCTACATTCTTGACTTTTCTCTTCTCCTCTGTCTCCTGACATGTTTCCCTCCTCGTGGTCTTCAACTAACAGTAGCACAGAATCTGCCAGCACCCTGTTTGTCAACAGTTATATTTTATTGTTTATTTACCCTTTATTTATCCAGGTAGTCTAATTGAGTCACAAGAACTCATTTTCAAGAGAGATCTGTTTTGGGAGCAGATGATGGAGGTTAAGGGCCTTGCTCAAGGGCCCAGAGTGGGGCGAATGAGGGTGGAGGCAGGTGTGGGGGCTTCACCTCGTCCACCCACAGTTTAATATTGTTGGTCGGGGGGAGTTGAACCTGCAAATTTCCAATCACTGGCCCATCTTCTCTGACCTCTGCGCCACCACTCCCCAGTTCAGACTGCAGTCGTTTAGACGGACTCACATTATAGTTTTGGCAAAAAATGTTTTCTGTCGGATGTCCTTCTTGACACAACTCTCACCATTTTTCTGGGCTTGGGACCAGAACCAGAGACACTGGCTTGTGCTCCCTAGTGACTGGTTGGGTTGTTAAAGTAAAAGCCACAGTGTGTATGTGATGCAACAACTCATCTATCTAAACGTATATTATACTTGGTGTTGTGCTAAAAGCTACATGATCACTAACTTTTAATAAAAACTGACATCACTGCTTTTAATAAAAAAGTTTTAGTGTAATTCAGAACAACAGTTCGTTTTGCTCCTTTCATTTTCTTCGAGGTGTTCTTCTGGCGAGCTGCATACATGATCTGTAACATTTTGTACACTGAAAGAGCAAAAAAAACACAGGCTTTGCTGTGAGCGTCCATCTTTTGTCCGACTTCCAACATGTGGGAAACTGGAACAAAACTTACAAGTTTAGACCGCTGGTCAGAACTTTGGAATGGGGCGGGGCTTGTGGCAGTCTTCAATGCAGAATGTTAAGTCTCCAAAGTCTCTGTCAGAGTCCAAGTTGCTTTTTGAAATAAAGTCACAAGAAGGTTTTTGCCAACTCGCTAAAGAAAGTGACAAAGTCACCAAGTTGGCAACAGTGCCTCTATCACAATAAAAGCACTGAATTTTATTTAAACTTTATGTCTTGTTATCCTGATGCATGCTCAATAATCAAGGTAGAAAAATCTAAAAAAGTTAAATCTGGTCCTCTGGACATTCACAAAACAAAGCAACAAAAAAATGTAGAAACGTTTCGTCTCTCATCCTGAGGACTTCTTCAGTCTGAGGAGCTGTATTCAGCTCAGTCTCTTAAATAGCACCTTCTCAGAGTGGATCAACCAGTTTGCTGCTGACAACCAGAACCAGCTGATCACAAGCTCAAGAAGGACCATCAGCCTAACAATGGATCATTAGCACCTGATGGCTGTTTACTGTTCACAGAGGGCTGAGTGATACTAGCAATCACAGCATTGTAAGAGGGGGACAGTTGAACCCGGAGGCTCCGCCCCTGTTTAATGATGGACGGTTTCTTTTCACAAAGATGGCCTCCTTTACTCCTCTCTCAAACCATCGTTCCTCTCTGTCCAGGATGTGAACATCTTCATCCCTGAAAGAGTGACCTCTGACCTGGAGATGAGTGTAGACCGCAGAGTCCTGGCCTGATGATGTTGATCTTCTGTGCTGGTCCATCCTTTTGGCCAGTGGCTGTTTAGTTTCCCCGATGTAAGACTGATCACCCTCCTGACACTGAACAGTATACACAATATTACTCTGTTTGTGCCGGGGGACTGGATCTTTGGGATGAACCAGTCTTTAATGTATTTTGGGGTTTAAAAGCCACTGGGACGTTATGTTTAGAAAATAAACGTCTCAGTTTCTCTGATACTCCCTCAACATATGGAATGACCACTGGTCTGGGTCTGGGTTCCTCCTTTTCACCTGTTGGCTGACTGGAGTCCTGTTTGGGTTTCTTCTTTCAGGAAGGCCCAGTTAGGATATCCACATTGCTCTAGAGCCTGTCTTGTGTGGGATTTCTCCTTCTGCCTGGCTCCTGAGTTAGTGCGGACACTGTCTGCTCTGTGGTACAGAGTCCTGATGACTCCTAACTTGTGCTCCAAAAGGTGATGGGAGTCAAACTGCAAATACTGGTCTGTGTGGGTGGGTTTGCGGTACACTTCAGTTTGCAAATGTCCTCTATCAGAGACTGAGACCTCACAGTCCAAGAAAGCCAACTTGCCATTTATTACATCTTCTCGTGTGAACTTGATGTATTTATCCACATAGTTGATGTGGTCAGTAAAATGTTGGACTTCCTGAGATTTGATTTTAACCCAGGTGTCGTCAACATACCTGAACCAATGACTTGGTAGTGTCCCTGAAAAGGACGTCAAGGCTCTCTTTTCTACCTCCTCCATGTACAGGTTGGCAACAATAGGCAGAAACATGGGTGTGCTATGGGGTCTCCAGTTTCTCCTATTGTTGCCAACCTGTACATGGAGGAGGTAGAAAAGAGTTGACACAGTTGTTCTGTGGAAAGCGTGGTCCTGCTGCTCAG